GTTCCACTGGTTAATCGTTCTCGCGGTCAGGAAGTTTCTCCTTAGTTCTAGGTTGCTTCTCTCCTTGCTTGGTTTCCACCCGTTGCTTCTTGTCGTGCCTTCGGGCGCTTTGGAAAATAGCTTGATTGATTCTCCTGCCGAGGGCTGGATTACAACTTAAAAGGGGGGGAAATGCAGGGTTGTGGCCTTCGGATCGACGAGAGAAGCTTTTCGGCGTCCGTTAGAGGAGAGAACACGAGGAGAGGCCACGCGTTTCTTTGAAGTGCTTTATGTCCGCCCTCAGCAAGACCTCCAGGTAGCAAGTCGCATCCCCGTTCTTGTACACGAGCTGATCGATCATCCGCATCAGTTCGGCCACCTGAGCCTCCCGTTCTTCTCCTTCGGCCTTGTTGTTGAAGGCCAGGCAGCGGTGCCCACAGTAGGCCACCAGTTCCCGAAGCGCGACGTCTCTCTGGGCTATGAATTCCTCCAGCGTCTCCCCTTGCAGGTCCTCCTTGTGGGTGAACAACAGGATCAGGTAATTCTTGCCTTTGCGACCGAACACCTCTTTGACCAGCTGAAGCCTCTCCTTCTCCTCCTGCGTCCAACAGCCAGGACGCAGGACGCACAGAATAGCGTGGGGACCCGGGGTGCAAAACTTCATAGACTTCACGAGCTCCGTCACAGTTTGGGACTCTGGAACCCCAGGGTCGAAAAAGCCCGGCGTATCCACCACCACCACCTTCCGGCCATTCCACAGGCTCTCCTTCCTTTGGCAAGTCTTTGTTGGTGACCTATAACACCACCTAGACTCAAAGACGTTGCTTCCCAGGATGGTGTTTCCCGTCGCGCTTTTCCCACTTCTGGTCCTGCCCACCAGGACGATCCTCGGATCAGGCCCTGCAACCCCAAAGGGGAGAAGAAGGAAGACGGGGACCCGGTCGGCAGCGTACGGCCATCGCACCCTGTTCCCGCCACCCAGGACAGGCGCCCCCTCCACCACCATCACCCCCCACCCGGGCCCAAGACTTTACCTCGGAGGCTTCCAGCCATTTCCGGACAAGTCGCACAGCGCCAATCTCGGGGGTTGCTGCGTGAAAGGCGAAACAGGATGAGCCAAAGGAGAGGCTGTCTCGCTCTCTATGGGGTCCTCTTCTAGAATAGGAGAGAGTAGAGAGTAGAGAGTAGAGAGAATGGAATGGAATGGAATGGAATGGAATAGAATGGAATGGAATGGAATGGAATAGAATAGAATAGAATAGAATAGAATAGAATAGAATAGAATAGAATAGAATAGAATAGAATAGAATAGAATAGAAAATATAGAATAGAATACAATAGAATATTGAATATAGAATATAGAATATAGATTTTAGAATATAGAAAATAGAGTAGAATAGAATATAGAATAGAATAGAATATAGAATAGAATATAGAATAAAATAGAATAGAATAGAAAATAGAATAGAATTATAGAATAGAATAGAGTAGAAAATAGAATAGAATAGAATATACAATATACAATAGAATACAATAGAATATTGAATATAGAATATAGATTTTAGAAAATAGAAAATAGAGTAGAATAGAGTATAGAATAGAATATAGAATAGAAAGTAGAATAAAAATAGAATAGAATAAAAGAAATAGAATATAGAAAATAGAATAGAATATAGAATAGAATACAGAATATAGAATAGAAAATAGAATAGAATATAGAATAGAAAATTGAATAAAAAATAGAATAGAATAGAATATAGAATAGAAAATAGAATAGAATATAGTATATAGAATATAGAATAGAATAGAATATAGAATAGAACAGAATATAGAATAGAATAGAATATAGAATAGAAAGTAGAATAAAAAATAGAATAGAATAAAAGAAATAGAATATAGAAAATAGAATAGAATATAGAATAGAATACAGAATATAGAATAGAATATAGAATAGAATATAGAATAGAAAATTGAATAAAAAATAGAATAGAATAGAATATAGAATAGAAAATAGAATAGAATATAGTATATAGAATATAGAATAGAATAGAATATAGAATAGAAAATAGAATAAAAAATAGAATAGAATATAGAATAGAATAGAAAAGAATAGAAAATAGAATAGAATAGAATATAGAATAGAAAATAGAATAAAAAATAGAATAGAATATAGAATAGAAAAGAAAAGAATAGAAAATAGAATAGAATAGAATATAGAATAGAAAATAGAATAAAAAATAGAATAGAATATAGAAAATAGAATAGAATAGAATATAGAATAGAATAGAATAAAAAATAGAATAGAATATAGAATAAAAGAATAGAATAGAAAATAGAATAGAATAGAATATAGAATAAAATAGAAAATAGAATAGAATAGAATAGAATAGAATAGAATAGAATAGAATAGAAAATTGAATGGAATGGAGAATAGAATAGAATAGAACAGAACAGAACAGAACAGAATGGAAAATATGGAATGGAATGGAATGGAATGGAATGGAATAGAAGAGAAGAGAAGAGAAGAGAGAATGGAAAATGGAAAATGGAATGGAATGAAGAGAAGAGAAGAGAAGAGAAGAGGTGCTTCTGTGCCCCACTCCTTGCGAAGTCCCCTCCCTTTCCCTCCCCTAACACAAGGGTCTCAGCTCTCCCACCCACCCGTTTGGGGGGGGGCTCTCCCAGAAACGAGGAACGACTTGATGCTCAGAAACAGCCCTTGCCCTCGCCCAGGTCCACTTCTCCTGCCCCAGCCAGGCCCACTCTTGGCGCTTCTGGGGAGTGGGGGCAGGGGAGGGTGTCTCACCTGGACGGAGGGATCAAGGATCCCCGTTGGGAGCTGGATCGGCTGCTCTCCTGGGTCGCCTCTCGGCCGGATCTCCTCGCCCTTTGAATGGCCGGTGGATCTTTACGACGGGAAAATTAGCCGGGCCAGCAAAAAAACCCCCCTGGACTACTTAACCTGGACCGTCCGTAAAGCACCGGACAAAATGGAGCCCGAGAGGGAGGGAGGAGAAGCCAACAGGTAGGACGGGAACCAGATCCCAAGGGAAGTCTGAATCCGGGATCACAAGCAGCCCCACCAGCCGGAGAAGAGCTCCACAGCCGCCTGAAAAGCTGGGACCTTTGGACCTTCAGGCGAGCCTGGGACGGATGCCAGGTGTAAACAGGGCCATAAAATGCAGGCACACCTGGGACTTTGTCCCGGTGCCACCTGGGCACAGCAGGGACTAGGCGGGTCTCTCCCCGGTTACCTTTTCCTCGTTCTCACTTTTGGTTCCTTCTCAGAGATCGGCCTTGCGATTTCTCCAAAGTTGATGGGCAGGTGGCCAGCAGGGGAGGGAGGGAGGGAGGGGTCCCGGGGTTACGGTCCTTGTCTAGCCCTTCCTCGCTTTCTCCTAATTTTGGCCCATCTTCCCCTCGCAGGAGGGCTGTGCAGAAGACCTGCTCCCTGCTTTATCTACTATTTTCCTCTGCCGTCAACGATGCTTCAGCGTTCCTAACTCATCTGGCTTTCAGGCAAGCGCAGGCTGGTGGGGTGGGTTGGAGCTGAGTAGGGAGCCCCCCCTCCCTTTCTCTTTTGCTCTTTCCTCTCCCATTCTCTCTCTCTCTCTCTTCCTTGCTCTTTCCTCTTCGTCTCACTCCATCTCTCTCTTTCCTCTCCCCCCCCTCTCTCCCTTGCTCTTTCCTCTTTGTCTCTCTCCATCTCTCTCTCTTTCCTCTCCCACTCTGTTTTTTTTTCTCTCTCTCTCCCTCCCTCCCTCTCTCCAATCTTCTGCTCACCTGGCAAGCTGGCTTCAAGCTGTTCCCCAACAAGCTGACACACATTCTTATTGGGCTGGCTCTCTCCTGCCCTTCCTGCTTCCTTATTCCTGCAGAGACACAGCAAAGGGAGGAGCCCCGCCCAATAAGCTTCTCAGCTTGTCCGAAAACAACGTAAGGCCACTCTCTTTTTCACACACGCACACAAACACACACACACACACAGAGAGAAAGAGAGAAAGAGAGAGAAGTGAAGCACAAGTCCGTCTCTCTGTCTCGGTCTTTCTCTCTGCAACTGAGGAGGCTGGGAGCCGAAGGAGAAGGCTCAAAGAGCTACAGGTGGCTCTGGAGCCACGGGTTGCCGACCCGTGAACTAAACCCTGATGAAGACCTAGAACCCTGTCCCTTCTGGGGGAAGCCTCAGCATTCAGGGGGCTGCAGGGGGTTCTGGCACCCAGCCAGCCCAGAGGAGCCCCCTGGCAGCACCCATATGGAGCCCACCCCTCTTTACCCAAGACCCACAGCCCTCGCCTGTTCTCAGAGTCCATTTTTCAGCAGGGGGAGTTTTCCAGAGGGGGCATCCTGGAGGGTCCGAATATTACCCGCTGCTAATGGGGGGAGGGACTTTTTCCACTCCCCCCCCCCCAAATTTTCGCAGCTGCCTTTCAAGTTGGGGAAGGGGGGCGTGGATCCAGTTCCGCTCGCCGATGGGACTGTTGGAGGACCCTGGGGAGAACAAGCAGAGCAGAAGAGCTCCTGCTGTTAGAATGGGGGAATTCTCAGGGTTGGATGGGATCCTTGAGGCCATCTAACCCAGCCCTTGCTTGGGGCAAACAGCCACCCGGAGCCTCGCAGGACGCTGGTCCAACTCTAAAACATTCGGTTTTTCTTTCTGTTAGGATCTGGTTTCTGAGAGGTGGGCCGCCTTCTCAATCCTATAAATCAGGGGTGTTAAACTCAATTTCACTGAGGGCCGCATCAGCATTGCGGTTGCCCTCGGGGGGGGGTATGACCTACTGGGTGGGCGTGGATGGAGTGGGTGTGGCCTACTGGGTGCGCCTGGTTTTGGCAGGCCACGGGGCGCTCTCCTCACAGCGCCAAGAGGTTGAGCCGGGCGGTGTGAAGCTCGCCCGCTTTGCACCTTGCTGCCTGCCGAAACTGGGCAGGCTGGGGGCTCGGCAGCGTTGCACTTCTCGTCAGATGCGCGCCACCTGGCTCAGCTCTTGGCGCTGTGAGGAGAGCGCCCCGCTGCCTACCGAAATCGGGCGGGCTGTGAGCTGAGCGGGCTCGCGTTTTCTTTTGGGATCTGTGCCACCCCGGCTCAGCCTCTCGGCGCTGTGAGGAGAGCGCCCTGCTGCCTGCCGAAAACCCTCCCCCGGAGGCCATCAAGCCAGAGATGTGAAGTAGGCGAGGGCCATTGGCTGGCCACTTCCAGGCGATGGTGCATTTCTTCATTCCTTGCAAAGGGTGACCCCTCCCCAGCACGCACCCAGCGGGCGACGCAGCAGGGGCTGGTTCCTCGCTGTTTCCAGACGGCCTCATGGAGCTGAATGCGTTTCAGCATAGATGGCCACCACAAAATTGTACATTGGCTCCCGGCGGGCCTGGGCCAGGGTCAAGGCAGAGGGGTGCCGTTCCCTCACTGTTTCCAGGATGGCTTCACGGGCCACATGAAACCACTTTGCGGGCTGCATTCGGCCCCCGGGCCTCGTGTTTGACACGTCTGCTATAAATAGATATAAATGCTTTCCTGGAACATGGCTGCCCCCCTGACCGGGCCAATCTGGTTGTAGGCTGAGTGGACCACCCTCAACAGTCTTCCCAGTTCGCTCTTCACACACACACACACACACACACACACACACACACACACACACCAAAACAAATAACCACACACAGCCTCTTTCCTAAGCAAGGAGGAGATTTAATCGGAGCTTTGGTTGAAACAGAAGTGCCCTCCCAACTGAGTCCATGTTGGCCGATGGAAGGAAGGAAGGAAGGAAGGAAGGAAGGAAGGAAGGAAGGAAGGAAGGAAGGAAGGAAGGAAGATGCCAGGCAGCTGTTCCGAAAACAGAGATTCGGCTTGGGAAAACGGGAAAAGGTGAGAAAGCACCTCAAGGCTCTCCTTGCCTTGATGCTCTTCGGCACCAGCAGGAGCGACCGGGAGACGTTGTCAAGATTCTGCGACTTATCATCCGTAATGTTTCTCATCCCGGCGGTTTCCTGGCCTGCTCAAACTCAACAGATTGACCGACGGGGAAGCCCCAAAGAGTCTGAGCTTCTAAAGGGACAGGGGTGCAGGCTGGTAGCAAATTCGGCTGGGGGGGCGGCTAGTTGATATGGGGAGGGGGCAGGATGTTCCTCTGCCCTTGGAAGAAACTCCTGTCGTCTGAAGGGAGGAAGCGGGTTCTCCAGAGAAGGAACTCCGCCACCCATCTCGGACTTTGGGGTTCTTCGGAGATCTCCTGGTGTGGGCTGGGTTGCAGCTCAAAGGGGGGGAAATGCAGGGTTGTGGCCTTTCACAGGGCTGCCCTCTTGGAGCAGAGGATCGACCAGAGAGGCTTTTCGGCGTCTTACAGGAGACGACACGAGGAGACGCCACGCATTTCTTTGAAGTGGTTTATGTCTGCCGTCAGCATGTCCTCCGTGTAGCAAGTTGCATCCCCGTTCTTATACACGAGCTGATCGATCATCTGCATCAGTTCGGCCACCTGAGCCTCCCGTTCTTCTCCTTTGGCCTTGTTGTTGAAGGCCAGGCAGCGGTGCCCACAGTGGGCCACCAGTTCCCGAAGCGTGACGTTTCCTTTGGATATGAATTCCTCCAGCGTCTCCCCTTCCAGGTCCTCCTTGCGGGTGAACAAAAGGATCAAGTAATTCTTGCCTTTGTGACCGAACACCTCTTTGACCAGCTGAAGCATCTCCTTCTCCTCCCGGGTGAAATAGCCAATACGCATGACCCACAGAATAACGTGGGGACCCGGGGTGCAAAACTTCATAGACTTCATGAGCTCTGTCACAGTTTGGGACTCTGGAACCCCAGGGTCGAAAAAGCCCGGCGTATCCACCACCACCACCTTCCGGCCATTCCACAGGCTCTCCTCCCTTTGGCAAGTCTTTGTTGATGACCTAAAACTCAACCTAGACTCAAAGACGTTGTTTCCCAGGATGGTGTTTCCCGTCGCACTTTTCCCACTTCCGGTTTTGCCCACCAGGACGATCCTCTGATCAGGCCCTGCAGTCCCAAAGGGGAGAAGAAACAAGACGGGGACCCGGTCGGCAGCGTACGGCCATCGCACCCTGTTCACGCCCCTACCCCATCCCACCACCCCTCCACCCCCCCCCAGGCCCAAGACTTTACCTCGGAGGCTTCCAGCCATTTCCAGACCAGTCGCACAGCGCCAATCTTGGGGTTGCGTGAAAGGCGAAACAGGATGAGCCAAAGGAGAGGCTGCCTCGTTCAGAGGTTCCCCCCTAGAAGACACAGGCAGGAATTGGGGGGCAAAGAGGGTCACCCCGTCCCCATGGCCCTTGAGGCCAAGTCGTCCTGTTCCTGAACCGGCTGGGGGACGCAGGAGACTGGGTGACACACCACTGAACTGTCCTAGGAGACAGTTCGCACCCCTTCCTGGACCCCCTTTTGCTTGACCCCCTTTCCTGGACTCTCTTCCTGGACCCCCATCCATGACCACTTTCTTGGGGCCCCTTCCGGGACATTCTTCCTGGATCCCTTTCCCAGACCCTCTTCCTGGACCCCCTTTCTGGACCCCCTTCTGCACCCCTTTTCTAGACCCCCTTCCTGGACCCCTTTTCTGGACCCCCTCCCTGGACCCCTTTCCTTCCTCCTCCAGGAGTGTTCCCCTCTCTCGCAACCATACAGCGATTCCCCAGGAAGTCCTCGTCTTACGACATGTCCTTTCGTGACCGTGGCCTCAAATGTCATCCAACTGGGCAGCCTCCCTTAGCAACGTAAACTTGGGCCTCAGTTATGGCTGGTAAGCTGAGGACCACCTGTCCTTCTTGTCAAGACCACCCCGGTCGAGAGTTTGGGGGAGAGGGACGCCTTCCCCCGGCATCCCGCGCAGACCCCCAAAGGCGGCAGAAGGGTTGCTGGAGAAGACAGGCAGAACTGGAGCTCCCCCATGTGGCCGCCCACCGACGGTATTCCAGTTTCTGTGCTGGGCAGAGGTAGAGTAGAATAGAGCTGGAAGGGACCTTGGAAGTCATCTAGTCCAGCCTCCGCGCTCGAGCAGGAGAAACTAGGTCCTACACCATCTCAGACAAGTGACTGTCTAGAATAGAATAGAATAGAATAGAATAGAATAGAATAGAATGGAATGGAATAGAATAGAATAGAATAGAATAGAATAGAATAGAATAGAATAGAATAGAATAGAATAGAATAGAGAATAGAAAATGGAATGGAATGAAGAATATAGAATATAGAATATAGAATATAGAATAGAATAGAATAGAATAGAATAGAATAGAATAGAATAGAAT